GCTCAAGCAATTCTCCCACCTCAGCCTCCCAAGTAGTTGGGACCATGGGGACACATACCAAAGGGGTCTCACTATATTTCCCAGGCTGGTCTCCAAGCCCTGGGATCAAGCTGTCCTCCTGTCCGTCTTGGCCTCCCAAAGCACTGGGATTACAGCCCTTCCTGTATTTCTTGCAAGAGAAATGAAAACAGGAACATACAGTTTTCTGTGGTCTCTTTATCCACAGGCACAACTGCTTAAAGAAACCAGACAGCCCTGTGTTGCCAGAGTTTCAAGACCCTTCCCTGAATACCAGAGAAAGATGAGAAGGCAGAAACCCATGCAGTCCAGAGCAGGGGCCTGACTGAGGCATCCTAATGCTGAAGTCCCCGCCCCTAAAAGGAAGACAAGGCCATCAGGTGTCCCATCCCTGTGAAGCCTGAGCCCCACCCTGTGCAGGCCTCGCCCTTGCAGCACCTGCCCGCCTGGGGAGAAGCTGCTGTAGGGCAGAGCTCCACTTTCCACTTCCCAGCAGTGAGTCCCAACATCTGACTGCCTTACCAGTTGGCCAAGGTAGGGTAGGGAAGGGATGCAGTTACTGGTGGCACGTTCACAGCAGCCTTGGTAACAGCCAAACAGCAGAAACAGACCAGTCCAGCAAGTGCTGCACGGGCAAATCCAGTGTGCTATTCAGTACTCCTCCGGCTGAAATACTATTCAGCCACATAAAGGAACTCAGCACTGATCCACGCTCCAATATGCATGAACCTTGAGGACACTTTGCTCAGTGAAAAAGCCAAATACGCCGGGCGCGGTGGCTCACGCCTGTAATCCCAGCACTTTGGGAGGCCGAGGCAGGTGGATCACAAGGTCAAGAGATCGAGACCATCCTGGTCAACATGGTGAAACCCCATCTCTACTAAAAATACAAAAAATTAGCTGCGCATCATGGCGCATGCCTGTAATCCCAGCTACTCAGGAGGCTGAGGCAGGAGAATTGCCTGAGCCCAGGAGGCAGAGGTTGTGATGAGCCGAGATCGTGCCATTGCACTCCAGCCTGGATAACAAGCATGAAACTCCGTCTCAAAAAAAAAAAAAAAAGAAAAAGAGAAAAGAAAAAACCAAATACATAAAATCAACACACTTTGTGACTGCATTTGTATGAAATGTCCAGAATAGGCAAACCTTTATAGACACAAAATAGACCGCTAGCCTCCTGGGGCTGGGGTGGGAACAGGGATCTGCCAGCAAGGGGCACAAAGGTTTCCAGGGGGTGACAGAAATGTTCCAACATTTGGACGGTGGTTGACTCATACCCTGAGAACAGGGAGAATTTTATAGTATGTAAATTACACCTCAATAAATTTGTTAACATTTTTATTCAATCAAAAATTATCAGCTGGGATATAAATTTCCCTTTGCCTAGATTCAAAGGCTCACAAAGCAGGGGCAGCCATGTGCAGGTGCCTGGGGCTGAAGAGGAAGGCTGGGCACTTCCACATCTGCTGAGGAAACCATCCACCAGCTCTGTTAAAATCCTGTATTAAAGCCACACACACTCACTGGAGAGTACATATGTTGAGACACCCTAGTGCACCACCCTAAGGGGCACAGCATCCTAGTCGGACAGGGAAGCATGAGGCTTGGAGTCAGAAAAGCTCCAAGGAGACCCACTCTGCGGCCACCTGCTCTGGGTCACGCCTCGCCTCCCCGGTACCCCAGCTCCTCTGTAAAAAGAGACAGGAAGCTGGGAGAGACAAAGGAGACAGCACAGGCCAGATGCGGGTGCTGCACCTGGAGCTCAGTGACACTCAGGGACCCATGGGTGAAGGGCTGGCTGAGGAGAGGGCAGGAGGATGGGGAGGAGGAGCAGTTAGGGAGGGGTGTTTCACACCTCACTTTCCAGCTGTTCATATGCACCCACAATAGTAGTGATTATGCTGTTATGGTGGCTTTTTCCACTTACCACTGGAACATATCCCTTTCTGCTGTTATTAAATGTTGTCCACAAACACTGATGTGTCCAGCTGGGGGAGGCTTCTTGTTAGTCCCTCCAAGGGCAGGGGCTGCAGTCACCAGGGCAGGAGGACCCTGTTTTGCAATAACACTGCCATTGTGTGCCCGGCAGCTGTTCTCCTAGGGTTAGAGGTTCTTTCTACATAATTCATTAAACTCTTTTTAACAAGTATTTGTTGAGCACCTACAAGGAGTCACGGAGTGTACCAGGAGCTGGGAATGCAGTGATGAGCAAATCAGACACAGGCCCTGGTCCCAGGCAGTGTGCAGCCTTCTGGGGGAACCAAATAACCAGGAAGGAAATTTTCTGTTGGTGGGGGCTGATTAGATAAAGAGGAGGGGACAGAGCTGCAGGCAGAGAAAGTGCAGAGCTGGCTGGCTGCACACCGGGCTGGAGAGCAGGGGGCTGGGGGTAGTTGGAAGATGGGCCTCTACCCCCCAGGGCAGGGCCTTTAGCCATGCTAGGGACTTCAGTCTGTGGCATTAGAGTACTGGTGGTCATTTACACAGGCTCAAAGTCAAGATTCACCACTACCAGCGCATGACCTTAGAGCCATTACTCTTGCCTCAGTTTCCCCGCCTGTCAAATGGGAGCAATGGTAGAGGCAGGGAGGAAGAAATGGCTGCGGAGGTACTTAGATAGTAGTTGCATACCAGGAGGCTGGGTGGGTGTTTGCTGTTCTTATGCATCCCACAAGAAACGGCATCTTTAAAAGGTTTTAAGCAGGAGAGTATCATCATCATATTTGCAGACATGGGAAGGACATATGGGAGGGAATGGACATGGTGGGGGGACTTAGGATGTAGAAGTGCGACAGTCCGATGTGGAGGGGAGGCAAAGGAAATGTCAAGGACGAGCCTCTGCTGGGGCAGCATGGAGGTACTAATTGCTGAGATGCGGGTCTTAGATGTGGTATGTGCTGGAAGGTGGGGTGCCTGCTGGGAGCTATGGCCTAGATGGGTGGCTGGGGGACAACAGTGCCCGAGGAGGACTCAGGGCTGTGGAGCAGGAGGGGCTGGGGTCTCTGCCTCTGCATTGCTGGCCTTCCTGGTGTGGGGCTGCCCATGCTTCTGAGATGGTTAGCATCCCTCTGTGGTGACCAAAATGTCTCCGACATTGCCAAGTGTCCCTGGGGGAAAAATCACCACTGCAGTTGGGATGTGGTGTTCTAGGTCTCAAGGCCACCCAAGACCCAGAGGGCAGCCCTGCACTCCAAGCCTGCCCTCCCCGATACACTGGGCTGAACCCACCAGCCCCTGAGCACTGTCTTCAGAAGCCCATCCTCAAAGTGCCAGCCCACCCACAAGCCCCCAAACTACCATTCCATAATGCTCTGCCTCCCCCTGAGTGACCTCCACAGCCTCCACTCCCTAAGCCTTCTGCTCTGCACCAGGAACTGCTCTCCTGATGGGGGTGAAGGCAGCCAAACGCCCATGTCCTCACCTCATATCCCAGTGCCCTGCCCCTTGCCCTGGGCAAAGCCTGGCCTGCCCTGCCTGGTTCTGGGCAGCAGCTAAGGTATCCACACGCAAAATCAACATACAACCCAGTGCCAGGGCCCCATGATCCTCAAGTGGGCACCCCTGGAGAGCTGCACCTAGAGGAAGAGAGGCCTGGGCTGTGTCCCCCCCTGCCTAGGGCTCTGCACTTCATGCTGTGTGACCCTGGGCGGACCCTTCACCTCCTGAACCTCAGTCTTCCCAAATGGAGGCTGGGAATAAGCCATGCCTCCTGGCAGGGTTATTGTGGCGTTAAAGATGGCACACCTGCTAGATGAGTCACTGGCAATGCAGGTCAAAGGTTTGAAGGGGGAAGAGCTCTGGTGACCCCCCAACTGCCCTCAGGCAGTCCCTGTACACCTGTGCCCTCCCAGGGAATGGGCTCCAGCCCTGGCCACCTTTCCAGGTGCTCGGTCACACTGCTTCCTCTAGTGTCTCTCCCTTGTGATCTTAGCAATAGTCACGGCCACATTTCACCTTGACAAATGTACAGCAGGAACCAGCCAGAGGAGAAGGGGCTCGTGGAGGGTTCTCACCCCGCTCATACGCCCTGCTCCTCTCTGTAGGCTGGACCCAGCCCCTGCTAGATCTGGAGTTCTGTCTAGCTGTGTCCTCCCCTTTGCACACTCGGACTGCACTAACCCCAGCAGTGAAGCAGCCTTGTGTGGCACCCCTGACACTCCCCTTGCTGGTCTCCACTGGCTTGGCTCTGTGATCAGCAGCATGCCACCCTCTTCTCCATCCTCTCCCTCTCTTGTGTGTGGTGGTATCTTCTGTTCTCCCTCAAACCAAGGACTAAGGTGGGCAGTCTCTGATCACAGGCTGGCATCCTGGGTTCAGAAGACAGACTGCCTGGGTTCAAATCCCAGTCCTACCGCTTACTAACTCTGAGCTTTGGGCAAGTTTTACAAATCTGCATCTGTTTGCTGTGTGTCTCATGGAGCTGACAATTAAATACAGTACCTGCCTAAGGGAGCTGCAGTGCTGGTTAAATGAGATCCACAGAAAATGTGCCTGGCACAGAGCACAATATATCGATGCTATTGTTGATTTTAAAAGCAGTTTTCCTGGTATTTTACTATAAAACATATGGACTAGTGTGAGCCATTCTGCTATTTCCCATGATAAGAAAATGCAGGCTTTTCCTGTGGAGGGCACTCCACAGGTAAGGTATGGGAGGGCTAACCAGGCCCCTGGGGTCGGTTGCCCACTGAACAGCTTGAAGCCCAGCACTCAGGATGTTAGTGACTCTCACTGCCAGGGCTTCTCAGAAAAGGTGACAGGACTCAGGAGTGAGAAGATGGCCACTGACACACAGCTGCAAACCAAAGGGCTAGGACTCTGCTATGAAACCCAGGGCTCTGTAAGAGCAATTTATGTGAAACATGATATTTCTGGCAAGTAAACATTTGCTGAATGGAGGAAGTCACAGGAAATCCCCAATCCTGCCTTAATGAGACAAACAATCTGCTTAAGTGACAAAATGATTGTTTTTAACCCACCAGAGAGCTGAGAACGCAAACAAAAACAAAAGCAAAAACAAGGCGACTAAAATAAATCCCAGAAAGTGACAAGTCTGCTCAGAAGGAGGCCGGAAGCTGCTTTCTTCCAGGTAAAGTGCTGGAGGTGGAGGAGCCCACTGTGGATGGGGGAGGATAAACCGGCCACACTCACAACAGACCACACAGGAGTGGGTGTGTGGATCTGAATGCCCAGGAGCCCCAGCCAGGGACCCACTTGCCCTGGTTCTCCACCCACATACAGGGCAGAACAGAACTAAAAAATATCCCTCCAATGCAGTGAAGGCTGGAGGCATGCCACATGGTGAAAGGGGACCCCAGAGGCAGCACTGGAGAGCAACAAGAATGCCTGAGCAGTCCCCAGGGCCCAGGGCTGTCATTAAGGCAGAGAAAGGTCTCCTATGGTCAGATGCAGGGTACAGGCTGGAAAGCATGAAGATGGTAAGAATCTTTCCAGTGCTGAGATCCTAAGTCCTGTTGATGGGTCAGTCCTGATCACACCTTCAAGACATGTGAGGTTTATGGAGAAGAGTCTGACTAGAACTGCAAAAAAAGCCCAGCACAGCTTGGCTACATTTAGATGGACTGAGCCATCCACACTAACACGTGGGCAGAAAAGGAGAAACACTCTTTTCTGGGGTAAATGTTATTTTTTCAGCCTCTACTTCAAGCAGTGAGACTCACTAACACCCTGAGCACTGGGCTCCATGCTGTTCAACAGGCAACCAACCCCAGGACCCTGGATGACTCTCTACCTTACCTGTGGAGGGCAGAGCCTGCATTTTCTTCAGCCTGTCCTTTCATACATAATGCCTGAAGGTGCAAACTTAGGAGACATGCAAAAAAAAAAAAAGAACATCTAACCCATCAAGAAGAGATAACTAACTGTTCAATAAAAGACATGGATGACCAAGGTGTTGGGCTATAGAACTCGGATAAACATGCTAAATAGTCTAAAGGAAAAGGTAGATATTATGCAAAATAGAGGGGGAATTTGAGCAGGTAAATGAAAATATTACAAAGAACCTACAGAAATGCTAGAAATGAAACACACAATTCATAAATGAAGAATTCACTTAATAGTTTTAACATAAGATTAGATGTAGCAGAAGAAATATCAGTGAACCTGACCAATATATCCAAACTGAATTATAATTATCCAAAAAGAAACATGATGAAGAAAATACTGAAAATGTGAGATAAGTAGGATGGTAGGAAGTTTAACACATCTGCAACTGTAATTCTAGGAGAGACAGTATGGACAGAAGACACATTTGAAGAGGTAACAGCTGAGAGTTTTCAAAAATTGGCATAAAGACATCAACCTACAAATCCAAAAGCTCAGTAAAGCTCAAGCAGGATGAGTACAAAGAAAAATATCTATAGATACATAAGAGCCAAACTGCTGAAAATTAAAAATAATGAAAACTCTTAAGAGCAGGCAGAGAATGCGAAAAAGATACATTACATGAGAGGAAAACTAGGGTGACAGCTGATGGCTCATCAGTAACAACAGAACAACAAGATGAAGGAACTGCATCCTTAAACTGCTGAAAGGGGTGAAAAGTCAAATTAGACTTCTTTATCCAGCAGAAATAGCCTTCAAAAATGAAATAAAGGCATTTACAGATAGACAAAGCTGAGGAAATCAGTCTCTATCAGACCTGTGAGAAATGTTAAAACAAATTCTTCTGGCTGAAGCCCAAACAGATAAAACTTAGTTGAGGTGTTTTGTTTCTTGAGGATTTTTTTCCCCACTTAAAACATAAATGAAAAATGGCTTATCTTCCTACAAATCAAAATATGAAAATATGGGTCCTAGCATTGAGCCAAAAGAGATGTCTGGCCATGAGGGGAGTGGCTAGGTGGCCCAGAGAGCCATGCAGAGGGCAGCAGGGAAGCAGTATGAGGTCTGAGAGTTCCAGGAGAAGCAGGCAGATACAACAGCAACCTGCAGCATTAAGTGACTTGAAAGTAGATGGGGCAAATCCCTATTCTCCCAATAAGCCAGAGGTGCATTCTGGGACATCTGCCCAAGCTGGGGAATGACTCGAGTCCTGGCTCTTTATATTGACAATCACGACCAGAATGGACAGCAGAGAAGTTATGCCTGAGGGCTTTTTCTGAACAGCTTCAAAACCCACAGCATGGTCTTTGATCACTCTGAGACTTCAATCAGTAGAAGAAATACTAAGTGAGGATAGATCTCTGCCTTTAAATATGTATGCCTTTCAAACTTAGTGTTTATTTTTTACGGCAATTTTAATGAACAAAACATGGCAGACAAATTAAAGTCCTCAAATTACCCTTCTTTATTCAGCCATTGTTGGAACATAAGACACAAGTACAATTTATCATTATTTTGTTCTATAGTTCATAATTTTTGTATGTTATCTAATAAATCTTTGTCTACACTAAGATCATGAAGGTTTTCTTCTAGAAGTTACAAACATAACTTGGAAACATTGGGGACTTGGTTCCAGACCACTACAATAAAGTCAGTATCACAATAAAGGGAGTCACATGATTTTTTTGGGTTTCTCAATGCATATAAAAGTGATGTTTATACGATACTGTAGTCTATTAAGTGTTATGTCTAAAAAACAATGTACATAATTAAAAATACTTTCTTGCTAAAAAACGCTAATAATCATCTGAGACTTCAGCAAGTCACAATCTTTTTGCTGACAGAGGGTCTTACCTACCTCCATGTTGATGGCTGCTGTCTGATAAGGTGGTGGCTGCCAAAGACTGAGGCGGCTGTGGCAATTTCTTAAAACAAGACAATGAAAGTTGTCACGTCAACTGACTCTTTCACAAAAGGTTTCTCTGTAGCATATGATGCTGTTTGATAGCATTTTGCCCATAGTAGAACTTCTTTCAAAATTGGTGTCAATCCTCTCAAACTCTGCTGCTGCTTTATCAACTAGGTTTATAATTCTATTCTAAGTCCTGCTATTATTTAAAAAATGTTCACAGCATCTTCAGCAGGATAGATTCTATCTGAAGAAACCACATTCTTTGTTAATGCGTAAGAAGCAATTCTTCCTTCATTCAAAATTGATCATGAGATTGCAGGAATTCAGTCACATCTTCAGGCTCCACTTCAGAGTTAGTTCTCTTGCTGTTTCTACCATATCTGCAGTGACTTCCTCCACTCAAGTGTTGAATCCTTCTGAGTCATTCATGAGGGTTGGCATCAACTTCTTCTAAACTCCTGTTAATGTTTACTCTGATCTTCTCCCATGAATCATGAATGTTCTTAATGGCGTCAGAATGGTGAATCCTTTTCAGAAAGCTTTCAATATACTTTGCCCAGATCCAGCAGAGAGATCACTATCTATGGCAGCTATAACCTTATTAAATGTGTTTCTGAAATAGTAAGACTTGAAATTCAAAATTACTCCTTGATCCATGGGATCCATGGATGTTGTGTTAGCAGACATGAAAACAACATTCATCTCCTTGTACATCTCCAGGAGAGCTTTTGGGTGGCCAGGTGCATTGTCAATGAGCAGTAATTCTTTTTTTTTTTATTTTTTTGAGACAGAGTCTCACTCCGTCACCCCGGTTGGAGTGCAGTGGCGTGATCTTGGCTTACTTCAACCTCTACCTCCCAGGTTCAAGTGATTCTCCTGCCTCAACCTGAGTAGCTGGGACTATAGGCGCTCACCACCACGCCCAGATAATTTTTGTATTTTTAGTAGAGATGGAGTTTCACCATGCTGACCAGGCTGGTTTCAAACTCCTGACCTCAGATGATCCACCCATCTTGGCATCCCAAAATGTGGGGATTACAGGTGTGAGCCACTGCCTCAATGACCAGTAATATTTTGAAAGCAGTCTTTTCTCCTGAGCAGTAGGGCTCAACAGTGGGCTTGCCATAATTTTGTAAACAGATGTGCTGTCAGCCAGGCTTTATTATTGTATTTCTAGAGTACTGGCAGAGTATATTTAGCATAATTTTTAAGGGCTCTAGGATTTTCAGAATGGTAAATGAGCACTGACTTCAACTTAAAGTCACCAGCTGTATTAACAAGAGTCAACCTGTCCCTTTGAAGCTTTGAAGCCAGGCATCAGCTTCTCCTCTCTTGCTGTGAAAGTCCTAGATGGCATCTTCTCTCAATATAAGACTCTTGTGTCTACATTGAAAATCCTCTGTTTACCACCTTCATTAATAATCTTGGCTAGATCTTCTGGATAACTTGTTGCAGCTTCTCCATCAGCACTTGCTGCTTCACCTTGCACTTTTAAGTTATGGAGACAGCCTCTTTACTTAAACCTTATGAACCAACCTCAGTTGGCTTAAAATCTTTCTTCTGCAGCTTCCTCACCTTTCTTAGTCTTCATAGAATTAAAGAGTTTGGGCCTTGCTCTAGATTAGGCTTGGTTTGAGGGAATGTTGTGGCTGGCTTGATATTCTATCCAGACCACTAAAATTTTCTTCATATAGTCAATAAGGTTATTTCACTTACAGTGAACAATTCGCATGTTCACTTGTGTAGCATTTTTAACTTCCTTCACAAACTTTTCCTTTGTATTCACAATTTGGCTATCTCTTTGGCACAAGAGGCCTAACTCTCAGCCTGTCTCAGCTTCTGACATGCCTTCCTCACTGAGCCTAATCATTTCTAGCTTTTGATTTAAAGTGAGAGATGTAGAACTCTTCCTCTCCTTTCACTTGAACACTTAGAGGCCACTGTAGGGTTAACAACTGGCCTAATTTCAATATGGTTGTGTTTCAGGGAATAGGGAGCCCTGAGGAGATGAGGAGACAGAAGAATGGCTGCTTGGTGCAGCCTGAAACTCTGAACTGGGTATTGGCAAGGACAGGGAGATCTAGTTGAAGCCCTTCTACTATAGACTTGAGCAATGGGAAAAGGGCCTCCTGCTCAGAGAGAGTGGGAGAAATTCTGTTTTGCGTTTTTCTTTTCTCTGCTCATGCTTAGCTCCCAAGCAATTCCATGGCAATGAGATTGGTAGCAATAGTGGCAGGGGCCTAAAACTCAGAGGGGAACCTTATCTCTGGAATATAGGACAATGCTGTTTTTTTCCTCTGTCCTCCTGCTACTGGTCCCTTGATGTACAGAGC